CGGGCCTAGGCCGCAGCAGGCCGCGACGGGGCCGCACGCTGCTGCTTCCCGAACGGCCGAGAGCCAAGCGTCAGAGAAAGGGGTGATCATTACCTGGACGGGTTCCTGCAGCACCGTCATCCTTCAGGCTCAGGCCCACTTTCTGCAGTGCCTCAGGCACCCCCCCGTAGCGGTTCCGGCCCCGCCAGCTCCGGCTCATTTAAACTCACCAACGACCGTTACCGGGGGATGGGGGAGGCCGAGCGATTGCCGAGCACCTCCGAGCGGGACACGGAAATGCCCGAAGTGCGACGAGTAACGCGGGAGCCTGACGGAAAATCGCGAAAGAGGCCGGAAATACCCGAGGTGAGTCGGAGGAGTCGAAGACCGTTGCCGGAAATTATCGAGAGTTACCGGAAATTACCGAGTTTGGCTTTCTGCGTAGGTTCTCAGCCACGCCTTCACCCACGCACGCCACGCCCAATCGGCCTCGCCAAACTGGGCCACGCCCAATCGGCAGCCAACAGGCTGGGCGTGGCGTGCGGGAGTGGGCGGGTAGCCCTACGTGGCGGATCTGCTATCTCTATTCGTTGCTCCATCCTTCTGGATCAATTGGTGCACCGTAACCTGAGGTAAAGGGAAAACGCTATAGTTGAAGCTGATTTTAACCGAGAAGTGTTTGTCTTTTGCGTATAGATCAGCCATTCCAAAAGTACCTGCTTACAGCTCTGTGGAAAGCCGGGGAAAATTTGGGAGGATTGCCACTCCTCAAATCGGATGCCTGGTCCTGAAAGAGACTGGTTTAAGGGAAAAGCAATATAACAAAGTGGTGTCCATTATAAGTGATGTAAAAATTCAAGGGGGGAATTAATTGGGGTTAGAATGAGTAAGGAAAAAAAGATTTAAGCTGGAGCTTGAAGGATGGGTAGAATTATAAAATAGTGTAAATGAAGGCAGGAGAGATGAGACCAGTCTGGTAAAGAGTTAAGACATGAACTAGAAATAGTTACGTAAGTGACCAAATGATGGAAAATCTCAAAGGCAAGTAGAAATTTCGATTCTTTTTTTTTTTTTTTTTTTTTTTTCAAAGAGTTCACCCCCCCCTCCGGCAGAAACTTACTTTTGATAGGAGAAGCCATCTGAGGTATTGGAAAGAATCTAGTGTTGGAGATCCAGTGACCTGATTTTGAATTTTGAATCTCTGGCACTAACTAGTTGTAGGTTGTCAGTAAATTTCAACCTCTCTGAGCTTTTCGCTTACTCTGAAAGAAATGATTGAAAGAATGAGGTGCATTAGCCGATGTTGGGGGGTCTAGTAGGTGCTGTCAGATTTCCTTTTTCCTTTCCTTTACCCCAAAAGAGTGAACCAAGGAATTACTAAAATCGTAATTTTTCAGCAGATGAAAAAAACAATTTTTAAATGTTTATTTTCTATTCAGGAGTTCCTTAAGTTAAATGTGAGACTCATGATAGATTTCATTGTCGGAAAATATCTGGTTCCCACGTTGTACGCGAATGAAATGAAGTGAGAGTGGGTCACTCCCTTAGACAGTGCTTATTAAGTGGTCACCCCATGAAGGGCAAATGCTAAAGTGGTTTTTGATTGCCATGTGTCCTGTTCTTTTATTAGAACTATGCTGCATAAGTTAGTATTGGAATAGACTTCTATGCTGACCTATATAGTGGCCACTAGCTATTTAGAGTGTAATTAGTTAAAATCGAATGAAAGTGAAAACGAAGTTCCTTAAGTGCCCTATACAAATCGCAAAGACTCAATAGACCGCCACACTTGGCTTAAAGATAGAAATTTTGAATATAAATTTGTTGAACAAGCCAAATGAGGTAGTGCACGTCTGTAATTTCAGCACTCTGGGAGGCCAGGACAGGAGGATTACAACTTCGAGCCCAGCCCGGGCAATTTAACGACTTAGGGAGACCTTGACTCAAAAAAATAAAAAGAGCTGGGGAAATATATAGCTCAGTGGAGAGGCCCTGGGTTCTGTCTCCAGTATCGAATATATATCCTGCAAGACCACATTTTAGAGCTCCAGACCCAAATGCTTCTCAACCAACTAGACATCTTTATCTGGATACTTCAAAGGCATTTTGTTCACTCCGTGCGCAGTGCAACCCCTCATTCTCCACACTTGAAATATGTCCTGTCAGAGTTTAAGCCAGCACCAACTTTCCCATTGCCTAAACCAGAAACCACTCTTTTTCTTTAGCCCTGTAGGGAATATAAAATTACTCCTCTACCCTCTGCGGGTTTTTGACTGGACTTGAGAAATGAACTAACATAAGACAGAGTGCCAGAAGAAAAGCATGCAATATTTATTTACTGAGTTTTGCATGTACATGGAACCCTTCACAAGAAAAATAAAGACCCAAAGAAGCAAACAGATACCAACACTTATATACAAGGTTATCTAAAGAATTGTAAATTGTGAAAATGTGAAGACAAAAGGAGTAGACTAGGGCAGTTGTTTGTAAAAAAAAAGTGACCAGAAGACAAGGGTTCATTTCACAAGGTTTGTACAAATTTCTCTCAGTCTTGACTCCCATCTTTGGTAAATGTCTTTCTTCTGGTGTAGGAGGGTACCTTTCATGTGGGAGTTTATTCTTCTATTTTTGTGACCAGATTCTGGGGTTGTAGGGAATCAAATATATCACCTTAAGATGTGATGCTTTGTTACATTAATTATTTTTGGTTAAACATACCTGAAATGCAGCAAGGATACTTTTTTTTAGATGCTGAGAAGGAGATCAAGGGCCTCCCACATGTTAGGCAAGTCCTCTACCACGGAGGTATACCCCCAGCCCCTGACCTTCTTCTTTATTCCTAAACTAACTCCTCTTACAGGGTCCTCCCAGGTCTGGAGCTTGCCTACTTGTTCTCCTCCATGTCCTGCATTTCCCTTTTATATCCTACCTTCCACCTGTGTGAAACTACTTGACCTACTCTTGCTTTTGCATGTACTGTTCTCCACTGCCCAAAACACTCTTTAATTCCACTCCTCACCTGGCTGTCTCTGCTTATGTTCCAAATAGGTTGTTTATTCTAGGCCTTTTCTGACCCATTGGGACAAGTTAGCTATCTCTGCTCTTGCCGTAGTGTTATCAGATGGATCATAACCCTCATCACCCTTTATTGTGATCATTTTTTTAACTGTCCACTTCTTGGCTAGTGTATAAGCTCCATGAGGCAGAAGTCTTGTTCATAGCTGTATTCTTCACACCAATGCACATCTGGTACTTACTGGGGACTCATAATTATTTAATGAATGAATAGAATATAGTATTCTGCCCTTATCCCTCGGGGGTACATTCTAAGACCTCCAGTGGATGCCTAAAATCATGCATATTGTGGAACCTTATATAAACTTTGTTTCCTCCTACAGATACACATGCAAATGCCTCTTCCTGTTTCTTTTTTTTTTTTTTTTCTTTTTTTGGAGGGGCTAGGGTCTCACTCTGTAGTCCAGACTAGCCTGATACTTACCATTTAGCTCAGGCAGGCCTTGAACTTGAGATCCTCTTGATTTGGCTACTAAATGCTGGGATCATAGGCATGTGCCACAATGTCCGAGTTTGCCTTGTCCTTTTTTACCAAGTACTTTATATGTACTATGGTGATAATTTTTGCAATCAGAGGTACTAGAGCAACACTAGAATAAATTTCTTTTTCCTTCTTCCCAATTTCACAGAATATCATTACTCAGAGCTTAGCAACCTCAACATACAATTTATTGCTTTCCTTATTAAACTGAGAAAGTTCACTTTTTCAGTCAAAAGAAGAGCTTTATAGGTTCTCTTTGGCATATCCTGATAACCAGCATCACTACTTTTGTGTGTCAGGGCTACTACTAAGTGAAATAGGGCTTTTCTTGGACTCAAGCACTATGGTACTACAGCAGTCTGATCGCCATGTTGCCTGTTAAGTGACTTAAGTGTGGGTAACATATACAGTGTGGGTACACTGGATAAAAGGATGATTCATACCCTGGGCAAGATAGTGTCAGATTTCATCACATCACTCAGAATAGCACGCAATTTAAAAGTTACAAATTGTTTCTGGAATTTATCATTTAATGTTTTCAGACTTAGTTGACTGTGGGTGACTGAAACCTGGGGAGAGTGAAACAACAGACAAGGTGGGGGGACTACAGGAAACTCATTTTGTTACTATTATTTGTTTGTTAATTCATGTTATAGACCAGATATGTTCCCTCAAAATTCATATGTTGAAGCCTTAGCCCCCAGTGTGACTGTACAGTATTTGGAATATGGAGACTTGAGGATGTAATTAAGATTAAATGAGGTCAAATAGGTGAGGCTCTGATATGATAGGATTAGTGTCCTTATAAGAAGAGACATCAGAAAGCTTAATTTCTCTTTCCTGTCATGTGCACCAAGGAAAGGTCATAAAGATACAATGAGAAGGCTGTCATCTAAAAACCAGGCAGAGATCTCTTACCAGAAGCCAATTTTCTGGCCACTTAGTCATGGACATTTAGCTTCCAGAACTGTGAGAAAATATATTTTCTTTTTCAAGATACCCGCTCTGTGGTATTTCACCATAGCAGCCTGAGCTGAGCTTTCTTCCTAAAATACTTACCCCTTATTATTTTACCAGCTAAATTCTATTTGTTCTTTAAGCCTCAGCCTCACTATCTTATTCTCAGAATATTTCCTGTCCTACCTAATCTAGATGATTAATTCTATTATTCTCCATTTTTTAGTTTATAGTACATATGTTTTAAATTTGTGTTTATCTAATATAAACTCCACAAAGGCAGGGACTTGACTCACCATGATGTCCCATCACCTGGTACACTGCCATGCACCAATCTTATAAAACATTAAAATATTATAAGTATATAAATATTATTGGAATATCTGATGATTGAATGATTTCACTTAATTTTCTTTTTTACTGATCTAAACCTGATGGTTTTTGATTCATTCTTTCTGGACACAGAGAACTTGCTGGTCTGGCACATAAGACCTTAAGGGGCGTCATGGGTGGGTAACAGATGCCCCTACCATACTTTTCTAATGAAAATATATACTTTCGCATAATGGTAGCCAGCTGTGTGTCTCAGTAGCTGCTCTAGGAGAACACAGGAAGCAGTCTTTGTGTCCACCCACTTGTACAATGAATGGTAAGGTCAAAGTGTCAACAGGTGAGTTTTATCCATGCTACACAGTTACTCTTTTGTGTATATATAATTTGTTTTATTAAATGTTTTATTTTGATCTTTCTTGTAGAATTAGTCCAATTTAGTACAGTGTTGCATGAAAATCCGCTTTTACAACTTTGGGAGGAGGTTGAAAGTCATCAGGTGACTCAGCTACCCATGATGACT